GGGCCCCCCAGCAACAAGCACCAGCCCTCCCCTGTGTCACCCTCCCACCAGGGCTCTGCACCCTCTCCCATCCCACATGCACAATTCGAGCCAGCGACCCCACGCCTGCCCCGAGCGACCAGAGGTTGGTGGCCCTGGCATCATCCCAGCCCTGCCCAGGGAAACACCCCAGCCCACAGAGCACCCACCTGAACCCAAACTTGTCCATGCCAACAGCAAAGTGCCGTGGCTGCTCGTAGCAGCGATAGAGGTTGCGGTCGTCCATGGGGATGAGGTCCACGTCGCTGAAGATGAAGCAGTCATACTCCTCGTCATCCTTGAGGGCCTCCAGGAACCCCACGTTGAGCAGCTTGGCCCGGTTGAAGGTGTCCTCGCCGAACTATGGGGCAGAGCTCAGCAATGCCTGCCTGAGCACCCTGGCCCCGCCAACCCCTCACCTCTGCCCCCCCTCACCTGGTTGATGATGTAGATGCCATAAGCCACTTTCTGCCGGCGCAGGATGGGGTGCAGGTAGTGTAGCCAGTACTTGAGGTGGTGTTCACGGTGCCGGAAGGGGATGAGGATGGCCACCTTCTGTCGGGGCAGGCAGTCTGGGGGGGTGTACTTGCCACCCTGGCGCACGTCGGGGTTCTCCCGCTGCACCCGCTCCATGCTCATGGGAGAGCTGAACTCAATGAGCAGGCGCCCGACTGCAAGAGGGATGGTAGAGTGATGCCCGCAGGATGGGACACAGTCTGGGTCATGGTCATCTGCTGCTCCCAGCCAGGCCAGTGGAGCAAACAGCAAGGGGGACCTGCAAGGGGGACTGGCACTGCCGAGGGCAGAGGACACCCAAAACCTTTCCCAAACAGGGGCAGAGAGACTGGGCAAGCCGCTAACAAAACCTGAAACTAGCTGTCCCGGTACCAGTTCCAGGCTGGGGTTTCTCCACTGCTCTACCCCGGGACTGCCGGGAAGCCATGCCCAGGGCCCAGGGGACAGCGATGCCACCCACGGGTGCCCACCCCAGCCCCACGCTCAGAGCCAGCACCCAAACCCCACCACGCTCGCCCGGCACACCTCACCTAAGCCAGGAGGCGTCTCCTGGCAGGGCTGCAAGGGCTTCTCGGTGGCGGACTGGTTGGCGCTGGGCTGGGCGCTGGGGGACGGGGCCTCAGCACCAGCCAGCCCGTAGCTGGGGACGGTGCCGTTGGGGCGGGAGGAGTTGGAGAAGGGGTGGGCGCGCGAGGCGTTCCTGGCGTTGAAGCGGCTGAAGAAGTCCAGGTGCTGCGCGTAGACGTCGAAGTAGAGGATCATGATGATGACGAAGTGGAGCAGGCAGAGCAGCAGCACGGCCTTGCAAATCCTTTCCAGGGTCACCCCCAAGAGCAGCCTGGTCATCTTCTGGGCACGGGCAGGCGGG